ATATATATATATATATATATGAAAAATTAATTACCTAGAGCAAAAAGTTTATGTACACATGTCCCAGATATGACAGAGACATTTAGTGAACTTAATCCCCATTATGAAGACATGGTTGGTTTGTTGGATAGCACCACCTGTCCCACATAGCTTTACACAAGTTGCTACCTGATGAAGAAATTTCCAAGCTACTAGAGTACTAAATTGCCAACCTCTTAAAGGATCGCCAAGTGCGTAGTACTCCAGAACTCCAGAGCTCTTTTAAAAGTACCAATATTTTTTCTGACTCTGCTAAGAAACTTTGAATGGAAGGGATAAGTCATCCTTGGACTGAACAGTAATGCTGAAAGGCCTGGCTGTGCCTGATGGCTCCCTGCAGAGCTGCATATATAGTAGGGGACCCCCAAATATCTCAAAGTTGAAGTATTAGCAAGCTTCATTCATAAATATTGTATTTCAGAATTCTTTCCTATTCTGATTGTACTCCAGATCCATTTACTGCTCTGCTGTTCCCACCCTGTGTCCCAAGAGGCTGCATTACTCACTTTCTCAAGGCTGGGACAAAATACCCAACATTCTTAACTTAAGAAGGACACATTTATTTGGCTCACAGTTTCCAGAGGGCTCTTTCCATAGTTCAAGAGATGAAGGCAAAAATGATGTGGTGTAAGGGTGTGGTGGACAAAAGCTGCCTACTGCATGGCAGCCAAGGAGCAGAGAGAGAAGGGACAAGATGGGGACAAGAATACACCCTTCCAGGTCATGCCCCCAGTGACCTGCCTTTTCCAGCCCAGCCTTACTCTGAACATGTGATACTTTGGGGAGACATATTACACATGATAGTTTATCTGTCTGCCTGCATATATATCACTACCCTAGTATGAGTCACTTATCATTTCTTCCCTGAATAATTCACTAGCTTCCTCACTGACCTTCTTGCTTCCAGTCTTACTCCCTTCCCATGCACCCTTCACAAAGCAGAGTGACTTTGCAAGTTGGCAATTTCCCTCCTATCTATGGTTCACTATTAAAACAGAATTTTAAAATTCAAGCTCTTTTGCTTGCACACCCTTATAAAAAACTGATTTTTGCTTATCTCTTTAGTTTCATCTTTTTTTCATCTTAAGTCCCAACCTCTAGCTGGACTGAGCTAGTTGCAGTTTCCAGAATTCCCCATGGCCCTCATGCTGCGAGGTGTGGAGTAGGATGGCCCCTCTATCTGGAAAGCCTACCCTTGCTTGTCCCTCCAGACCTCATCCAAAATCCCCTGTAGAAAGATTCCCCCATCTCCATCCCACTCCACCCCCTGTTGTAGTGTGTTAGATGCTCTTACTAGCTTTTAATTTTAATTTTCCATCCTGTATAATAATTCTCACCAGTAGACTATAAGCTTACCTAGTGCAGGAATTTTTTATCTTGTTTTGTGTTTACCTTTATATAGAAACTTCAGTGACCATTACAGTCTCTGAGATATGATAAGGACACAAATATTTTCTGAGTGCAGCTTCATGAATAAATTAACCAATGGGATACTCTGAGACACTGATTTAGTGTCCAGGAGACAATGATTTAGTGTCCAAGTTTTTCCATGGCCAGCAGAAGCTATTAATCAACCTTTCCCTCCAGCAGTATCTTCCCCAGGAACATTTTCTGACCTCAGCCTCTTCCTTGTGTAGGCTTATGCTCTGTTGGGGGCACATTTTTTGAAGAGAGAGTGACAAGTTTGCACTACAGATTTGAGTCTAAACCCCCCTCTGCAAGTAGATTCTAGCTGTACTACAGGAACTAAACTATTCACTCTTTCTAAGCATCAATTTGCTATAAACTGGGTTTCTTGGAGTATCACATAAAGGAATATCTACTACATAGTAAATGCTTAATGTATGTTGGTCTCCATTTCTCCTTTGTCCTCCCTCAGCACCCTGTACTCATGCCATCGGCTTCCTGGTCACTTGCCTCCTTCCACTTGAAATCAAGTACTGTATCCTTCATCTGTAGCCATTGGACATAGAGATGTACTACATAATTGCGAGTGGACTGGATCAAATTCATGCTTTTACTGGTTATGAACCTGAGATTTAGAGAGATTAAATGACCTGCTTAAATAATACAGCTGGGAAATGGCTAAGTCTACAACACGAATCTGACACGTAAGCCAATGTTTATTCAGTCTAGCTGCATGAAACGAGATGAGTGTATGCATGTATCTCTGCAGTAGGATGCACACTCATCAACACAAGCATGGTCCTACAAAGGCTTGTCAAATCACAGGCACATTGTGACTTCCTCTGGTGAAAGATGAGGGTTCTGTGTTCATTTCATTAGCACCACCCTGCCCTGCCACATATGTCACCCTTCTTGGTCTACCATCTTTCTAAAACAACTATGATATAATTTTCATTGGACAGACAATTTATATTATGATGGCTGTGTAAATCCTATTCACAACTTAGTCTTGTAGTATTCCATCATTTTTTTCTTTCTATCCTCTCTGGTATGAAAATGATCCCGTGCTTACATCCCTGATTTTCTAAGGACGTGTCATTGCTTCAGCCCCAAATTCCCATCTGTTGTGTTGGTCATCTCTCAGAATATTTAATATGCTGTGCCCTATCAGTTTACATTTTGGGAACTTTTTAGTACAGGGTCTCACTGCCTCAGCCTCTTTTTTGGTGCTGTTCAATTACATTTTCATAGAGACATATCTTTCATAGTCTGACTTGATTGGAGAAATGAACAGCTGATATTCTGGGATCTATATTATTATATTGGGAATTCTCTTCCTTCCTTCCTGTGTGAAATTGTTTGCTCCGTGCCTTCTTCTTTCATGGTGTTCTCCCTTGTTTTAATGAAGCATTTCCTGTAATAGCTTTCTGAGAATGATTCCACTGGAGGAAAAATTTGAAGACCTCTCATATTTCCTCATGACTTCAACTTGCTGTTACATAATCATCTCCTTCAGAAGTTTGAAGAATGACTCCATTTTCCTCCAGCTTCTGGTGTTACATCCAAGAAGTACAAGACCATTCTGATTCTTGAAATATTGCTTGTGCTTTTTCTTTAAAAGCTTTTCAGATCTTCTCTTTGACCTTGATATTCGGAAATTTCACAACAGTATCCCTTAGTGTGGATGTTGCTTCATCTAGCAGGCTAGATATTCAGGGGCCCTTTTCAATTAAAAAAAAATCTCATATATATATCAGGGATTGAACTTGGGACCCTGCACTTACAAGTCAGGAGGCATAACCACTGAACCACTGAGCTAAATCTTTGGCCTTCATATACTATGCCTTCTTCACATTCTTCATTTCCATTTGTTATATTGTTTTCTCCCAGAAATTGTTAGTTGGATCTTGGTTTTCCTGGTCTTCTACTCTAATTTTTATATTTATTCCTTAATTCTCTACCTATTTTCTCTACTTTCTGGAAGATTTTCTCAACTGTTTTCTTGTGTTTCTTTTATCACATTTAAAAATGTTCTGTAGTAACATTTTTAATTTCTAAGAGTTCTTTTGAACTGTCTTTTCATTTTCTCAGAATAATGATGATAATTTTTAGCATTTTGTTTTGTTTTGTTTTTGTTGTTGTTGTTGTTGTTTTGTACCAGGGATCAAACTTGGGTGCTTTAGCTTGCGAGGCAGGCAGCAGAACCACTGAGCTAAATCCCGGCAATAATTTTTGAACTGTTTAAAAACTGCTGTCTGGGTCTGGGGATTTAGCTCAGCGGTTCGGTGGCCTGCCTTGCAAGCTCAAGGACCCGAGTTTGATCCCCAGTACCAAAAAAAAAAAAAAACAAAAAAAACTGCTGTCTGCATGGTTTGTTTCCCCTAACACAGTGGTGGCAAACCTATGGCACGTGTGCTGCACCAGGCTGTTTGTTATCACTGAAAGCTCTAAAAGGTTCACCATCACTACTCTAAAATTTCATGTTTATTCTAATCTCCATGTTTCACATTAGAGAGTTTCTTCTTTAGATATCTGCTGATTGCGCATTACCGATTCATGTTTCAGAGTGAATAAAGCAGCAAGAATCTGACTAGAAACTCCAGTGCTCCAGTGGGACCTTGTTTTAGTTGCTTGCCTTCTCCCTGGGACAAAATACCTGATATCCTCAACTTAAAGGATGACAGGCTTATTTTGGCTCATGGTTACAATCCGTAGTTGGTTGACTGCAAGGAAGAAACAGAATGGCAAAGGGGCATAGTAAGAGGAAAGCTACTCATGTCATGGCTGCCAGGAAGCAGAGCGGCAAGGGAGGAACAGGGTTATCGAGATATCCTTTCCAGGTCACACCTCCAGGAACCTGCCTCTGCCCATAGGGCTCCACCTCCTCCTAGCAAGTCACCTGTAGCACCCACATAATTCATTCATCTTCCATAAATCCCACCTCTGGTTGCATGAGGCCTCTGGGAAACATTTTTCATCTAAACCATAAGAGGCCTTCTAACTGTGAGCTTCCAGAGACAGCTGTGGTTTTCCACAGGGGATAAGACATTGGTGCGTGTCCTGACCCTGGGAGACATTGCTGGCATCTAGTGGATGGAGGTTAGACCTGTTGCCAAATGTTCTACAATACATGGCACAGCCTGCCACAGCAAAGAATTATCCTACCCAGAACATCACTAGTTTTGGTTGAGAAATGCTGATATAGAATATTTCACTGGGCCTTGGAGTTGGGGGCCCTTTGACATTGGTGCTATTTATCTTTCTCTTGGGCTGGTCAGATGCTCCAGATAAGAATCCACCATTCTCCTATCTGGAGGCTACAGCCTTGGCTTCCAGCATTCTTAGAGATAGGGAAATGGGCCAAGGATTTTAACATTCTGTATGGAAAGGTCACTTAATCACTCTATTGACAGTATTGACTCCCTGCTGTCTGATATGGCTTAGGTTCCTCCAGTCCAGAGACCATAAACATCTAAATTTCTACAGGGGAGTAAGTTAGGAGGGGAAAGGCAGATACTTCTCTATATGATATAGGAAAAGGGATATGGAACTAAATATTTTTCTTCAGCATACTTTCAAACCATCCTTTCATTCTTCACTACACCCTTACCTCCTATTCATCCCCAGCTCCTGAGCCTTTAGGAGTGGTGAGTTTCTACTGTATAAAACAGCTTTCACAGCTAGGCATTGTGTCATGTGCCTATATTACCAGCGCTGAGGAAGCTAAGGCAAAAGGATCATGAATCTAAGTCAGCCTAGACTGCATAATGAGACTCTGTCTCTATAAAAAATAATCCCCAGCTATTATTGTAGCTGACACACTCAGAATTAACATTTGTCCATTTGCTTTTCAGATTTCTTTTCTCTGCAATCTTATGGATTTATGTGTTCTTGAAAATTGCTTTACTATCATAATTGAGGTTTCTGAAGACAACAGGAGTAAATGCTTATGCTTTCTCCTCTGTCATGTAGAGATCCCAAAATGTTATCCTTCATGGTGAAGCATTCACAAGTAAGTATTCTCCAATAGGAAAATCCTAAATACAATAAACCCAGTACTAAATGAAAACCATACATCTGTAGCGAACATCTTTTTCATACAAGATAAAATGTCTGCATTCTATAGAATCTGTTTTGGCCAGTTTTGAGGTGCATAGGACCGAGTGATCTTTGACATAGCAATGTTTTGTTTTTGTTTTCAGTTTTCTCTCTTGAAGAAGTCTATTGACTATAAATATCAGAAAATGATTATTTGGAGAGCATGTAATCAGCCAACTTGGTGTAATAGAAGCAGAAAAAAAAATTAAAACTACACCCAAGAGAAAACAAGAATCTCAACACAGGGCCGAGGATTTAGTCCTACACCCAAGAGAAAACAAGAATCTCAACACAGGGCCGAGGATTTAGTTCAGTGGTTCTGCCACCTGCCTCACAAGCACAAGGTTCTGAGTTCAATCCCTGGTACTGAAAAAAAAAAAAAAAAAAAAAAAAAAAAAAAAAACCAGGCATAAACAGAAAATGGCAATGTGGGCTAGGCTAGTTGAATCACTAAAGTTCTGTCTGAACAGAACTCAGACATCTCCATCTGACCACTGCCCAAACAGCTGGGATCATGCCATTGGTTCAGTGTCATTGGCTAAGAAATATGGTTTTTCACTGTGGTCCTTTGAAAACTTGTGATTTTTGGATTGTACTCTGTATTTCTATTTGTGAACAGATGCTGCTTGCAATGCCATTGAAACAGCACTCATGTAAAAAAAAATCTGCTTTGAAAACAGAAAGAGTATGGAGTAAGACTTCCCAGGTTGCAGTGGGTGCCAACTATGTTTCTTTCACACTCAAGCTTCAAGTCTTACATGAAGGCAGATACTACATTTCACCAGTGGGAAAGGGAGTTGCTAATGTCAGATATAACACAGGTTTAAAGGCAGATTTGCATTGAAGTTGTGTAAATAAATACTCACCTGCTAGCAGCTGAAACCGGAGCCTAGAATGATTTGATTCCTCCTTTTTAATTTCTAAAGGGACCACTTTACCATGGCAACAGCATCACCTTCCATCGTTGTCTTGAAGAAAATTTCCCAGAAACTTGATCGGAATACATGAGGATTTGGAATTGATTTGATGGGTCAGTAATCGAAGTATTTAATTTCTTATGTTTTATTTAGCTTTAACTTTTTAAAATTACACAGATAATACCATAAATATAGTATAGTTAATGGCATAAAAATTAGGATATGCAAATGAAAAATATTCCAAGCAGTCTTACTACTCAGTTGTAAGCACTACCTATGCTAGTCTATGCACTAGACTATTTTTCTAAGTCTCTATACCCAACCATGTTTAAAAGGAAAGGCAAAAATGAATATTTTTTTTTCTGAGACAAGGAATGAAAGTGTTTCCTACTCCTAGTCCTGCACTGAAAATGTATAAGGTGTTATAAAAGAAAGAAAGCAATTAAACCTAGACTAGGAATTAAGAAAGAAAGGAATTAAACCTAGACTAGGATATGAAAAAACATGGATAAAAAAGCGTCTTTCTTTTTAAGACTGTAAATACTGTATGTGGGTGATATGAGGATAAAAGCAAGGCAGTCATAGCAGGTGCAGTGGTGTATGTCTGTAGTCCCAGCACTCTGCCAGGCTGAGGCAGGAGGATTGCAGGAAGATTACAAGTTTTAACCTAGGCTGGGTAGCTTAGTGTCTTAGCATGTCCCAGTCTAAAATAAAAAATGAAATGAGCTGGGCATGTAGCACAGTGTGAAGGCCTTGGTTTCAATGCCCAGTAAAAATGTTTTAAAAAAATCATAACTGGAGGAAAAAGAGTTAACTTTATATTGTGTTGTTTAATACATGTTAAATGCTTAAGAACAAGCACACATATACACAGAAAAAGCAATTAATGTAAAACTTCTAGACTGTTATTGCAAAAAGGAGATGATGGGAGAAAAAAGAAAATACCCATTCAGTAGAAGTCAGTGTCTTAGTGTGCTCCTGCTGCTAGGCAGGCTAGATGGCCTAAATAGCAGATATTTATTTCTTAGAGGCCTGGAGGGTTGAAAACCCAAGATTTAATTGTCTGTCTGTTCAGCTCCTGGTAAAAGCTCGCTACCTGGGTGAGATTGAGAGGAGGAGAGAAAGAGAGGGAGAGAAAGGAAGAGGAGGAGGAGGAGGAGGAGGAAGGAACGGAGGCAGAGGGGAAGGGGAGGAAGAGGGGGAAAAGGAAGAGGAAGAGGAGGAATGAGAGAAGGTCTCGTAATTACCTCCCAAAGATTTCACCTCCAAATACCATTACTCCGGGGGTCAAGGTTCAACATATGAATTTGGGGAGCGATAAATGATACATTCAGTCATTACAGTCAATAAGGGATAAAATCTAAAGCAAAAAAGCAAGATGGTATACTATTTAACATTCAACATGAATGAAATTAATCTAATATGAATCAGTAAGAATAGATCCCTAAAGCTACACACTGAGTGAAAACAAGATGCTAGATGATAAGTAGAGTTAGCTCCATTTCGTTTAAATATTCAACACAAGAACAAGAGTCAATGTTTTATACACAGATATAGTAGTATATGTGGATATTTAGTAGAATGTACAAAAATCAGAGGCATGTGGATTTGAATTACAGGGACCAGTTTCAGACTTGAGGAAAGAAGGAAAGGCATTGAGGAGCACAGAGAAATTTCCATCGTATCTGTTTTGTTTTTTTTTTTTAACATCTCCTGTGTGGCAGCCCCAGTGTTAAGCATTACAGATGGTACAACGCATAGAAACAGATAAGGTTGCTGCTGTCATGAAACTAAGAGTATGAAGCCAAGTAAAATCTTAGTTACATATTCACTTGCAAAAACGCACATTATTACTGTGATATGTGCAAGAAGGGTGGTGGGGAGTGCTAGGGGATGGAGCGAGGCAGCGCTCTGGATGGAGAGACCAGCACTGCCAAAGCCTGGCGATGGGAGTGGTCTATTTTTTTTTCTCATTGAGTTTATTGGTACATTTTAGGTACACAGTACAGTTACATTCACCATTGGGGTCTTGTACCTTTACATGGCATGTCCTCCCTTCACCCCCTCCTCCCTTCCCTATTTACAAATGCTTTATTTCCATTTTTTCATTTTCTCATATTTTTCCTTTTCCCTTATTTCTTTTCCCCTACCATTCCCACTTCCCCTACATCTTTAGCTCCTTTTCTTCCTATTTCATAGTGTCAATTATACCATTAGGATTGGTTGGGCTAGGGAAAGGGTTAGAGATGCGGCTGGAAAGGAAGCCAAGGCCAGACCACTTGAGGCTTGCAGACCTCTGGAAATGCTTTATAGTACACTGCAGAAGGCCACTAAGAGATTTTGTTTTGTAGAGAGAGACTAATCGGGGTTGCAGTTTCAGAAGCTCAGTCCTGACACAGTATGAGGGAGACTGGAGTGACTACAGCGCAAGAGTAGGTATGGGGTAGTGATTGCAGCCGTCTGGAGTATCCAGGACTGTGGCAGTGAGGGAAGAAAGAGGAAGAGCCAATGAAATTTATTTGAAAGCATCAAGAGACTTTTAGAATTACATTCAAAAGGAGTAGGTGATTGACTATAAGATATATATTTTCTACTCTGTACCTTGCCTAGTTGTTTTTCTTTTTTTTAATGCTGTTGGAACCTACTTAATGGGTTCCAAGACAGCTTTCTTCTGCTCAGGCCCTTTCACCATGCTGTTTCTGCTCTGGATCCAGCCTCCTGTAGACTAACCTAGAAGCCAGACAAACCTCTCTTCCATTAAGAATGGGTATCAGGTATTGTGTCCCAGAAATGAGAAGGTGACTAAGACGATGTATCAAATCATGCTGATGGCCCACTGAATAGTCACCTGTTGGATGAGATCAGGAGAGGAGAAACAACAATTCTGAGAGGACAGAAGGTAAATAACAGTCACGACAACCGTGTGAGGCTTTCTGGAAATTCTGCCATCGCTGGGTCAGGAGTACCATCAGAGATGTGCATGCTTCCACTTCTATACGTGAGACCCAGTTGCCCGACTTTTCTGCCATGAGTTTATTTGCTTCTAGAAACTGTGCTGGCAGTGGGAGTAGACGTTATAGCACGCCTGCTTCTGCACAGCTTGTCGCACAGCTTGTCCTCCCCACCTTCCCTTCCTCTTTTTGCCCTCTCTGAGCTTCATTGTCTGTCCTCATTCATTTCTCCAAGTTTCTCCAATTTATACATTTATCTCCCATCCGCTCTTCCTTTTCCGCATCCTCTATAAAGACAACTGTTCCCCTAAACTCAGTGTCATTGGCAGAAGCAGCATCTACGGAAAGGGAGGAAAGAGGGGCATGGCTGAGACTTATTTAGCACTTAAATGCCATTAAAGTTAAGATCAGATTAGGAAAGCAAGGTACAGAGAACCTGATGTTTGGAAAAGAAGAGCTCTAGTAAATTGACTTGAGGATTAAGGGTGAAGTGGCTTCTGTTTGGTTTTTTTTTTTACCAACAGCAATTGAGTATCCAAGGCAAGAGTTTCAGAACCAAATGATTAATTCAGAGGACATCAAGAAATCCCTTGATGGATGGCACCTTGATCTACTATAATAGCCCCAGGGGTGTAGTTGAAAATGCTTTATAAAAGGGCCAACAAATCCAGGAGTATTACATAGGTAACATTTTTTTACTATCTCAAAACACATTTACATTGGGTGAACTACACCCTAAAAAGGCCATCTCCTCAGCTCATGAGATGTTGCTGCTTGTGCTTGTGCTTGTGAGTAGAAGGGCATTTCCATTTCTCCAACAGCAAAAGCCATATTTCTTTCAATATTAAGGTTAATGAGGGCTGGGGCTCTGTAATCTACATGAGTAGGTTAATTCTCATATGTCCTAGATAGTTGTGAGAGGAGGAGATTTAGAACTTCAGCTGAAGGGAGATGTATGCCCTGCCAAACTGGAAACAAATGCTTACTATGACAGCAAGGAAAGTTCTCCGTGGCAAGATCTCTGGGAATCTGCTTTTCCATCTACACAGTGCAGATACCAGACACAGCCCCACTTCTCCTGGGTGCCAATGAGAGATCCCAGCTCACGGGCTTTACAAGCCTTTGGTGGAAAGCAGTTACATGAGTCAAGCATTGGTTGTGATAACAGAAAGAGTTCATCAGAAACTAACCAAGCTGCTATCATATTCCTGGGAGGACACAGTTGTCCAGGGTGATTTTCAGAAGAGGGGGTACAGTTACAGTCGATCTTCTGTCCTGTTGTCGAGGGTATGGAGGTGCAAGACACTATGAAAAATGTCTTCATCCTCACGGTTGAAAGTGCCATTTCAAAGCTTCAAAACATTACAACTGAGCAAGACTATTTCATCTTGTTTTATTTCAAATAACATATTTTTCCCAAAGGCAAAGAAAGGACTGTGATCCTTAACATGACTTTCTTCCCCATTCAAGACTTCCTTCCATAGTGTTGTGATGGAAAAGGTGAGGGGGAGGAAGGCAGTAAGGCTACAAGCCCAGAGAGACTTCTATGGTTTAATTCATGTGGCTGTCCTCACTGTTACTCATAAATATCTAGAGGCTTTCTTGTTTTTTTTTTCTTCCTTTCTCTTTCCTTCCTTCCTTCCGTGTGTCTTCCTTCCTCTCTTCTTTCCTCCCGCTCCCTCCCCCTTCTTTCTTTGTTTCTGCAGTCCCGGGGATTGAAACTTTTCAGTAAGCTACATCTGTAGCCCTTTTTATTTTTTATTTTGAGACAAGTTCTTGCTGTCATTAAATTGTCTAGCCAGAGCATAAGCTTATGATCCTCCTTCCTTAGCTTCTTTTTTGTTCTTTTTATTGAGTTTATTGGTACAATCAAAGTGTACAATGCAGTTACAGTTACATTATTGGGATCCTGTACTTTTACATGATAGATCTTGATTCTCATTTTTTTCCCCTGCCCCTGCCCTCCCTTCACCCACTTGCTGTCATTAAATTGTCTAGCCAGAGCATAAGCTTATGATCCTCCTTCCTTAGCTTCTTTTTTGTTCTTTTTATTGAGTTTATTGGTACAATCAAAGTGTACAATGCAGTTACAGTTACATTATTGGGATCCTGTACTTTTACATGATAGATCTTGATTCTCATTTTTTTCCCCTGCCCCTGCCCTCCCTTCACCCACACCCCCCTCCCCTCCCCATTTACAAACACTTTATTTCCATTTTTTCAGTTTCTCATATTTTTCCTCTCCCTTATTACCTTTCTCACACCCTTCCCACTTTCCCTACACCTTTAGCCCTTTACTTCCTATTTCACATTATTAATTATCTCATTAGGATCCTGTGTACTATTACAGTTTTTCACACCAGAGAAACTATTCGGTATTTCAGTTAAAGAAATCTCTGTATGAATATTAAAAATAGGGAATCCTAAAATAAAACTAAAAAGGAAAGTAAACGAGAAAAGGCAATGATGTAAGATTAAAATAATCCTTAATTCTGAAGATGAAAATGGTCCCTGAACATATTTAAATTGCTTCTTGCTCTTGTAGTCTTATTCTTTTTTTTTCATTATTTAGAGAATACTTTATTAGTTTCTGTAATCAAACCCATGTAGATATGACATTACTTATTTAATACAGTGTGTTACCCCTGTACACATGGAAAAAAATAAAATAAAAATAAGAAAAAATTAACATTTCTAGCCCAATATGGCTGACAATTTCTGTACAATGCCAACTCAACACAGTAAATTGGGATAACTTTTTCCAAAGTTGACAGCACAGTTAAAGTTTCCAAAAATTCAAATTATATATATATATATAAAAAGACCAATACTAGCAGTATGTTATGCATCAAGAGCAGCAACAGCTTCTCCAGATTCTACAGTCATCTGAACAAAATTATAGACATTCAGCACATTCCATCAAAAAAACAAAAACAAAAAACAAAGAAAGGAATAATATCCAGATAACAGCAAAGTTCTGTTGCTGTTGTGGTACCTGGCACCATTTTTTTATTAGCATCTTAATGGGATTACAGGCATGCACTACCATGCCCTACTAGATGCTGTTTTTTTTTTTAATCGAAACTGATCAATAGAATTATTTGGGATGCATTCATTTGGGTCCTGTCTGACTCTGTGCAAGAGACTCTGCTAGAAAATTGGGGTTTTTTTTAAATCTAGTAATAGAGACAGAAAAGAAATAAACAAATAATTTACATTATGATCAATATGAAATTCCAGAACAGACTAAACTAATTGGTTACCTGTGGAAAGGATTAAAGTTGAAGGAGCAGGAAGACATTTGGAGAAATGCTGGTATGTGCTGTATTTTGTTTGGGATGAGTTATTGGGAATGTGCATTTGTCAAATTGAATCACATATTTAAAGTGGGTGCCTCTTACTGCATATAAGTTACAACTCCATAAAGTTAATTTAAACAAAAAACATGATATGTGCCGTGAAACTGGGTATTATATGAAATGGAGTACAGTGTGCAGGAGGTGTCTCAAGAAGGCATCTCTGTGCAAAAGTCTCTATGAGAAGTTTAAATAAAATTCACTGGGGGCCATTACTATTTTACTGACCTACACTACACCTGAACAGACCACACTGAATCATTCATGCTAGCTGCCTCATGAGCAAACTGAATTTAGTAATAGGCCAGTTTAGGGCCCAGGGATTTAGCTCGGTGGTTCTGCCACCTGCCTCTCAAGCACTAGGACCTGATTTTGATCCCTAGTACCAAAAAACAAAAAAGGAAGAGAAATAGGCCAGTTTTCCAGAAAATAGGAGATTCATAATAAACAATCCAAAGGGGCCTGCTCAGCCTGGATAACACAAAGAGGCAGTCTCCTCCACTTTAACCCTAAAAAAGTGACTTTGAAATGACAATTCTATTTCATTTTCATTGTTTCTGTTTTCTTCAGTCCTTTTTCTGTCTGTAAAGCCCACTTGCTTTCAGATGACATATTGCTGCCTGGTTCATGAATCAGTGATAAAAGTCAGTTACATCTTTGAGTGCAATTTGTTGAGGATTTTTGTTTTTTGACAAAAGGAAATGGGCCCAATGAGGAATTACACAGGGAAAGACCTGGATGTTTTTCTTACTTTTCTTGTAATGGGGCAAAAATTCATCATTTTCATTCAGGCAAAAATCCCAATTTTACTTGCTTCTAGAAGGAAAGTGTATGCAACCAAAGTGTCACTCCAAAGTTTTTCTGGATCCAGGGAAAGGGAGTAATTGCTAGAGTTTGAAGCTTCTTTTTGAGGTGATAAATATGTTCTAAAATTATAGCAATGGTTGCTTTTACCTGTAAATATAGCCAAAATTGTTGAATTTTTTCCTCAAACTGGGTGAATTGCATGGTATGTGAGTTATATGTCAGTGATAATCTCCTTTTGAAAGGTAATATTAAAAAAAAAAGAAAGGTAATATAATTCTGTGATGAACCAGGACAGGAGACAAACTTTAGCCTTGGACTGAAGCTAAGTCAATGAGATCAAATGCTCCCCACCCCACTTTCTTAGCATTATATGCACAGAAATTAACCCAACAAAATGTAACTAGAGTAACTTCAAATAATTTTTTATTCATATACCAAAGAAAAGCAAAATCCTCCCAACCCCTAAAGCAATAAATTACCCAATATTAGACTTCTATTTCTGATAGCATGATACCTTGAGTATTCTGAACAATGGAAATAAAAATTCTGGATGACATTTATTATTTTAAATGTAATTTTTAGCTGGCATAAAAATCACATTAGAGCCCCAAAGCAAAGTGAAATTTGGGGAAAGGAAATATCCCACGCTAACAAAGGCCATCAGAACAGACAAGGTTATGCTATTGTCCCAACAACAGTCTCTCTTAATTCAGTATAGCAACAGTCTCATTTCTGCAGGAGGTCACCCCAGTCCTGTGGGGACCAGACTGATTGAGGTCTTCACTCAACAAGCAAGTATTGAGTACGTTTTCAGTAAGTATTGAACAAATTTTTCATTCTTTATATCATTTTTCAGTCTCAAAGATCAGGTATAATTTTATTTATTTTATTTTATTTTTCATATCTTCCTTTTTAAGATATATATATTTTGAGTAAACACTTCTCCCATTCTTTCTGCTGAATCTCTCGTCCCTACCAGCCTACAGTTTTCTTTTTAAAAAACTGGAATCCTTTACTATGTTTCAGTGAAGGAGTTCCCTCTTTATATATTAAAATCAAACCAGTTATTACAACACAATAGACTTGACACTCCAGGATAATAGATATGAAAGGGAACATGTCTTCCTTTCCTGTAAGGTTTAAGCAGTCTTAAAATAATTTCATTTTAACTTGAGAAAAGATTCAAAGTGTCATGAAAAATGCTTCCTACACTTAGAATGCAGAAAGCCAGTTTGGTTTTTAAAGGACCCTATAAGTGCATAGTAATTATTAATTTAATCTTTCAAATCCCATATCAAATAGCCATTATTCTCCTGGTTTTAGGAAATGATTTCGATTAGTCCCTCCTCTGGGAATGAAGGGGAGTCTAGCTCTACATTCTTGGCCTGTGTGCCCCAGACTCTCTAGTTGATTTTAGACCAAACTTCTTCATTAATAATCTCCGCTTACTGAACTCTTCTAGACTCAAAGATCAGAATTCAGCTTCATTTTTATAGTTGTTATAAAATATATCTTTCTTCTCATTAAATTGGAAAAAATATACAGAATATATAATTTAAACTTATCCTGAACATCATTTTCAGTTACTCTGTAATATGCACTCTCTTTAGAAGTATGCAGTTTACGTATTCCCTTTTAGCAAATGACTTTTTTTTATACTACTGGGGATCAAACTCGGGTCCTTGAGCTTGCAAGGCAGGCAGCAGAACCAATGAGCTAAATCCCAGCTGCAAATGACTTTGTAGTGAAAATTTTTACATATTTTTGTTGTATTTTCCTTAGCTGAGATTTCCATAAATAGAATTGTCATGTCAAGAAATATGAACAATTTTTAAAGTTCTTAATCTGCTTTGACCATATGTTGTCTCAGAAATATTAGCCACCTTTCAAGGCCCAGGGCAATTCACATCTGTATTTGAATTACCTTGAAAAAATGTTGTTTAGATATAGTCTCACTGTATAACACAAGCTGGCTTTGGACTTAGGATCCTCAGGTCTCAGCCTTCCAAGTACTGAAATTACAGGGGTGCACCGCCACACCTGGATGAAATACCTTAAAATTTGAATTTCCATGAAAACAGACAGCCCTACCCAACTAGCTGACAGTTTCGTCATTGATGGTCATGAATCCCATCTGTCCAGACTTGTGTCTGTCTTTACATGGTCCTAAGCTCTAAGCCACAGCGTCTCCCATTTACATCAAGAACTTCCCAATGGCTTACTTGCCTCTCTTCATGCTCCGCCAAGCCAATCTCCATGTGACAGCTACAGCGAGTCTTTAAAAGACATGGTTTATCCTTACAACAAAAACCAAAAAATCCAATTTAAAGTGTGTAAATATCTACATAGACATTTCTCAAAAGAAATAAAAATGGCCAACAAAAATATGAAAAAAAATGCGCAATATTATTAGCCCTCAGATAAATTCAGATGAAAACCACAGTAAGGTATCACCTCACCCCAGTTAGAATGGTAGTTATCAAAAACAGAAAAAATGACAGAAGTTGATGAGTACGTGGAGAAAAAAGGAACCAGCATACACTGTTGGTGGGGATGGAAGTTAGGACAAACATCGTGAAGAACTGTGTGCAAGTTCCTCAGAAAGCTAAAAATAGAACTACCATATGTCCAGCAGTCCCACATCTCTGTACATATCCAAAGGAAATAAAATCAGCATACCACAAAGACATCTACACTTCCATGTTTAAGA